AACAGTGAATAGAGTTGAAAATAATAACAAGTATTTCTGGCGTTATCAGCGGTACATTTTAATTCAAGAATATTTTGAAAAACCTGTTCTAGGCGCATCGCCAATCATTCTTGTCTCCTATGTTGGTCTGATCGTGCGACATATATTATATCGATTAAGACGCGGTTTTGATCGACAGAGAGAGACATCAATTGGCAAATATGGTCTATCGGGAAATTTCAGTTAGTTTTAATTTTGTTTGAACTTTGTTCGAAATGATGTTTTCATAAATTATAGAGATGATTCCAACCGATTCATGGTTTACAGAGCGCTGCACTGCCTTTGAACATGCTGCAACCTACGATTATGCCAGATTTGTTGTTGAACACAAGAAAGTCAAAATGATAGGTGTCAGCCCAATATGAACAGTTGATAGTAGTGATATCAGTTTTGGTTTTTATAGACTTTGAGTGGTTCCGATTACATATTGGTTTTAGTATTTCGTCAATATCTTATTCAGCTGTCCTCGCTTAGACTTGTGTGAGTGCGGGTGTGTGTGAGACTATGGAATGTAAATTATCCGTAAGCATCCACATCTACATTGACGCGCACACCCGCAACACTACCACACGGACATTCATGTCCACATTCTACATACTTTAACCTTAGCTGATATCATGTGTTCATAAGTATCAGATTGACATGAATTTTTAAAATAAAAAACCTGTATCGAAATTTGTTGAGACTTTTGCTCTTTGCTAATATTTATGTTTATTAAAAGAAAAAATCAGAGAGATCGATGCCGTCGTCAACTAATGAATGGTGTAAAGATCAAAGTAAATGAATGAACATCTTGAAGTAATGTCGACAGCACAATAATAGTCAATGTCCGACAAAGTTTTTTTTATGCCGCAAACTGCCGTTATAATATCTAGTCAAATACTATACGGTTTCCTGTTGTTTTCGCTCATTGGCGAGAGATCAAAACAATGAGGAAAATAATCGAAAGAATTTTGAGAAGGGATGAGACTACATTGTGAAAAAAAGTGTACTGACTCGAGTGTACTCACTTATAATAGGCTGCTATCTAAAGTTAATCGTACGTAATGAAATGATCGAGTCTGATTTACTAATCGAGATTGAAAACAGAATTTCATGGATATGCATTTCCAACAATCAAAGAACGAAACCATTAGCAACCTGCCGCTTACAGCAGTCACAATACGGAAAATTCCGAGATATTTTTACTCGATAATGTATGAGACTAAATGATTCTACAACCCTAAACATTCGCTGAACGTTGAAGATATGAAAGCAAAATGGTCTTTCATTGCGAGTCAAATTTACTTTTGATATGTGTTTCAGAGATGAAGGACTTGACCAGATGTATAGTTCAAAGTATGATTCAGGTGATTATCTTGTCATATCTTACTTGTTCAAAAATAGCATCCTATATATATTTGATTAAATTATATGGACCTTTTGTTGATTTTTGACAAATTTCATGTCTTTTTATCGAAACTTCCTTGAAATGAAACCTCGTGTTCATCCCATCTGATGAAAACCGGGCAAAAACCGGCGGTTAACCGCGGTTTTTCCCAGTTAACCGCGGTGAACCGCTACTTTTCCCGGTTTATTGCGGTAAATCGGCGGTTTTTCTCGCTTTGCTGGCTCCTTACCGGTTAACCGGTTCTTTTTAATGGTGAACCGCGGTTTACCGCTAAAACTGTTCCGGTTTTTGTGACATGGGATGCATGTTTTTGAAGGTTTTGAGAAGATTATGGGTTTTTTAATAATTTTGCCTTATATAGAACGAGGCAAAAAGATATCCTGAGATATTTTCATTGTGTCTCTCAAAATTACAGGTCGCTAACTGTTGCTATGGTCGATTTATAGAGCTTACACCATCCCCCTTTAATTGTGATGCGGTTTCTTAGTATTTGAAAACTGAAGAAAACACTAACTTTGGAAAATGAATAGTTTCATTCTCGAAGTTATCAGGACACACAATGACAGCTTTTGATGCGTTCGCATGAATGCTGTGCTTCGTAACGCATTAAAATCGATTCCTTAGTTTTCTGAAATATACTCTTGTCATCAAAATTTTGCAACAATCGAAGATTTTTATGCGATTTATTAAGACAATTAATTGCCCAAAATGGTGAGTCATGCCGAGTTTTTGACAAAATTCCGACTATTCAAATGATATTTCCGATGATCCAATCTGATCGTAGTATTTTGACTTGTATACCACAATTGTGCTCATATACGTTTCTCATGAATGAGAAAAGAGATGAGTTCTTTTTCTCCAGTTCCACTAAATAATACAAAAAAAAAAGGTTATTGTCTTAAAATAATACTTATGTTAATTAAGATGATCACATTATCTAAATAAAATAAAAAAATATATTTAGTTTTATATAATAATAGTTATTATTGAAGTTTGTTGAAAGCTTACCGATTGGTCGCGATTAATTGCCAATTTTTCCATATTTCTTTTCTCTTCTAAATATGATTCCATCACTGATGACAATCATATCTACTAGCCGACGTCAGTAAATTCTCTTCTTTTATTCTATTTATAATTAACAATTAATTAATATACAAAAAATTGGTGACGAATCGTATATCAATGCAATATGTCTTGAAACAATAAATTTGAGACAAATGACTCGACGCCCAAATAATCTTTTTTTTCTAAGAAAAGATTTATTTGTATTGTTGAGTCATTTGTTTTTAAATTACTGTATGAAGAAGTATTTCATCGAAATAGAAAATGTGATTAACTTTTTGATCATTCATGAACATACGATGCAAAAGTCTTGCAAAAAAATGTAAAACTATGTTAGATCAAATTTGTCAACTTCTAGACTAATGAAGTTTTTTTTTTAATGGAAAGAGCAATGTCTGAACTACAAATTTTGTCTTAGACTTATATCTTCGGAACGAATTTGCGAAGCAAGAGAAGCTAAAAGCTCAACACTTCTTAACAAATTCTTGCAACTTGAAAAGTTTATAATTCTCAATTATCTTGAGCTGAATGGATCGAATTCTACAAAAAAAATCCATCAATTTGTGGCGCATCGAAAGTTTTATCGATATTAATTTTAGTAATTTATTTTAGGATTAATTGTAGACTCTTTAATTAAAAAAATAGAAAATTGAAATTTTTGTAAAATAAAGTCCTTTGCAAGAACTATCCATTGACAAGGAGATCAACCACAATGCCCAGATACTATGTGTAAACTGAAATCTTTCTATGTTATTTTCTTGAAATGCATCAGACGCTAGAAACTTAGCAAAAAAAGAAGAATTCAGACAACCCCTTTTATTATTACAAAGCGGTCGGATTATAAGAAAAAAAATAAATCTGGAAACCTCGGATTTAAATCCGAGAGTTATGTGTACTTCAAAAAGTGAATGAGACTGATTAGTCATCCTAGAATGTGTGGGCATAAAAATTACCCTGGCAAACCTTTTCTATAAACAGTTGATTTTTTTGGCTACTGCTCAACCACTAGGATTTACAGATGAATACAGCTCAGATTTGAACTCTTCGCCTTGATTTACCCGAGGAAAGTCGTTTTTCCGATAACTTGATTTCTATTGGTTATTGCTCAACCAATAGGATTTCGAGGCAAACGGAGCTCAGATTGGAGTTCTCCGACCCAAAAAACCTCGAACTGTCATCTCTATGATCGAAAGACAGAGCTCTAATTGTGGCTCAATTAGACTGTGGACACAAACAGAACCAATTCCCGTTTAATTACCCTTGCAATAGCTGAGTTGGTCTTCTTGTTTCTTTATGTTTTATATACCATTTTGTAGCTCGTGAAATTCTCTATCGAATGGTATATAATAGTTGGGGTTTTATTTGACTATAATAGGAGAAGTTTTTTACGAAAGCGAGGATAGGTCGATTTTCGCATAGGAAAAAATGACTATTTTTCCAATAACTCAGCAACGGCTCGGCCAATCCTTCTCATCTTCGAACTCGACCGAGATATTGTTGAGACTAAACTGTGTAGAAAATTTCATCGCAATCGGACTCTCCTTTCAAAAGTTATCGTGTTAACGGCCGGCCGGACATACGGACCGATTCTAGAGTGTACTCACTTTTTGAGTACACAACAAATTATACAGTGTCATCCAGAAAGAGCTATATTTTTGTAAAAAAATTAAAAGTAAGTTTAACTTCGAATACACCATCGGAAAGAATATTCTTTATGCTACAAAAATCATCATTAAACGTGCATTTTCATTGTTTACTCATAATGCAAAAAAAAAACGAAAAGAAAATGATATTGCAAGAACTTTTTTTAAAGAGATGCTTGGTTTTTAGCTTCTCCTGCTTCCTAGATTCAGTCCCGAAAAACAAATCCAGTAAAAAGTTTGTAGTCCAGACTTTGCTCTTTCGAATAAAAAAATTCATTGGTTTAGAAGCTGGTAACATATAGACTAACATACGTTAGCATTTTTGCCAAGACTTTTGCATTGCATGTTAATTGTAAATAAAATAAGAGAATTAACTCATGTCAAATATTAATTCAACCTGTCTATCAAGACAAGAAAATTATATTTCCGATCTGTTTATATCTGCACTTGTGTTGAATTCGAAAGGTCAGTTTTTGATGAGTAATCTTCAGATTCTCTGATTAAATAAAAGAATAGTATCTTTTCTTTATTGTTTATTCTAAATATTCACGAGGCAAGAGGGTACGCTTTGTGTTTAAGAGAAAAATGTAGGCACGCTTTGTGTCTAAGGGAAAAATGTAGGCACGCTTTGTGTCTAAGAGAAAAAATGTGTGTATGCTTTGTGTTTAGGAGAAAAATGTGTACATCCACAAATTATAGTGTAAAAAATAAGAACAATGTAAATAATTAGAGGTGTGTGTATAAATATAACAAAAAAAAACATCATTGGAAAAACGCAACACAGCAAACAAAAGAAGAGTTATATAGTTCAATTATTGTGTCTTCTTTTGGTACAATTTTTTTTTCTTTTATTGAACACGAAATGTTCATGAAACACGCTTAGCATTATGCTTCTTTCGATTAACTACTGTATTAGGTTGATTTGTTGTTGATTTCATTTTCATTGATTCAATGATTTTTTTCTAAAATAAAATAAAAACTAAAATAATCTCTTGTTTATTATTTCATAAACAAATTAACCTTTGCATCATCAGGCATAAATGGAATTGAATTAATATCACAATTTGGTTCTTTTCCAGTTTCTTTATGTTTAAGCATCATTAAAGCAATATCAATTGGCAATGCAAACCAAACCATATTTAAATATTTATCGGGTATATTTAATGGTGGATCCGATGTATAATCAACTTTTTCAAGTGCATATCTTACAGCATCAACAGCAAGTGCTTTTGCTTCACGAAATGGATCCTAAGACAATGAAAAAAAACCTTTGTTTTTAAACGATAGCAAATACATTGAAAACAAACAATCTACGGTATTAATTGCTTAAAAATGAAATTTTTTTTTTATTAAGTTTTGATTTTTATTTGAAATCGTCATAAGATCGATTCGTTTGCAAAACAAAACGTGAACCGGTCCTATCTATGTGACCACTATGGTTAAAACTCAATGTGATTCGAACATCGTGAATTGATAAGTGATTTTTTGAATATTCTTATAAATTTTAGTATTTATTTTAATAGGAAATGTCGATGAGAACTCAGGTTACACAGCTATAGATTTACATTTAGAATGTATTCTATGTAATTTTATGATAAATCCTAATAATATCAGAAATAATTCTATTTATTGTTTCATCTTACGAACAAAGTTCCTAACTGTTTAATTGCTTTTGAACGGGACGCATGCGTATCGTGTAGAACCGAACGGATTATTAGTACTACAAATAGAGTTCAGACGCTTAGCTTATTGTTGCCAATATACTGAACTTTTACAGTATTTTTCAATATAATACTGTGATTTCTACCACTTAGAAACGCCAAGACAACTGATTTTCGAATTTTAACTTAAAACTTTGCATAGAAATGGACCTCAACTAGAATAGTTAATTGCAAAAGTATTTATCGAATCTACAGATGTAATTGTGCAATCGAAAAGACGCATTTTTATTCTGATTGTATCTTGGCAAAAGAACGACGAAAATCTCTGAAACTTTTTTTAAAAAAATTCTCTTCAAGGCTTGTTTTTCGGCAAAGCTTCGAGTCCAAATTCGAAAATCAATTTTCTTAATGTTCTGGAGGTCACTGCGACATTTTATTGAAAAATACCGTAAAAATATAATATGTTGACAATAATAAGCTAACAGTACGAACTCTTTTCATTGTATTCATAAACTATCAGAGTCTATGTATGATATACATAGGCCCAGTTTAAAAGTGATTAATCAGTTAAAAAAACTGCTCTCACCATATCTGAAAACTTAACGAAAATATTCTTTAGAAAATGCCTACTGAGAATGGACTACCGCATAAATCATTAAATTCTATCGTTTATTCTACCATCAAAATTATTTTTAATCAGAATTTACTTACCGGAAGACTTTTTTCTCCATATGCAGCTAATAAATCTTTTTTTCCATAATGTTGCATTTTACCAGATTTATATGTTATATCCTCAAGACTTGAATAATTTGATTGAAAACCATTGCGATGAGACCATCCAGCTGTTGGAGGATCATATGTGTACTAAAACGAAAAAGAAGAAAAAATAAACTTTAAAAATCGTAGATGAATAGTTTTCTATATACCAATGGTAAAAATTTCCATCCATGAATAGCAATAAATTCTACGGCATTAAGAATATACTCAATTTCATCATCACTTGCAAAGTAAGGTAAGTTAATACGTGAAAAACCAGGTCTAAAAAAAATCACAAATTGGATTCAATTAAAAACAAAAACAAAAACGAAGCATTTTTCTATTTACTTCATCATCATAGTTCGAACAATGCCGTCATTTCCTCGAGCCCTAAAATCGAAATATACAATAAAATAATTTTGTTTTTAATATTTTTCTATTTTGTAAATCAATTCAACTCACCAGGGATTCTCCGTCATAAACAAACAATATGTGTCTGTTTTAGCATCATTGATATTTAATAAATCAAGTGCATATGGGCCAGCACAAGCACAACCAGATCGAACTTGTATGCCAAATAAGTCATTAAATAGATGGCAAACTAAATTTTGATGTAAATATTTGCATATAACGGGTACATAAATAGCAAATGAAAATATTGGTAAACGTGAAGCTGTTTGAGATCCAAGAAGGACTAATGTGTCAATTTTTTTAACACGTCGATAAAATCGTTTAATTAATTCATCGTCTCGTGCTTGAATATAATTCAAATCAAGTGAATCTTTTAATTGAAAAACAAGACCAGCGCGAATACAACCGATTATATCTGGTGTACCACCTTCTTCACGAGTTTCAATATCGTAATTATATTCGCGACATGTACGAGTTACAAAATTAACTGTACCACCACCACATGCTTTTGGAGGTTTCAAAGTAAATAACTTCTTTTTGGCAATTAAAATACCTATGAAAAAGATAATAAGAAGAATAATAAGAGTGATTGCCATTCAATGTTTTAATATCTTACCCGGTGTACCTGGACCACCAAGCAACTTATGTGTTGAAATAAATATTGCATCTTTATAAGCTGTTGATGATGCATTCATATCAATTTTAACGTAAGGTGCAGCTGTTGCATAATCCCAAAATATTAGACCGGAATATGAATGAACAAGTGTTGATATATCATCAACATCAGTTAAAATACCCGTTATATTACTTGCAGCATTGAATGAGCAAATAATACGTCTTTTTAAATTTGAATAATATTGTAATTTTTCTTTTAATACTGATTTATCAAGTATACCTTGCTGTGTTGTTGGTATTCGCAGTACCTTTGAAAAAAAAATAGACATAAATAAATGAAAAAAAAAAATTTTTTTTCTCTAAAGTTTCATATCTTACTTCAACACCAGCTTCAGTCCATGGTAATATATTGCTATGATGTTCAAATGCACTAACCATAACAACTGCATTTTTTCGATTAGCTTCATCATGAAAATAAAAATGATGAACAAGTGCATGAACAGCACCAGTTGAACCAGTACCAGTAAATAATAAAGCATCATTTTCATTAGCATTAACTGATTTTTTTATTATACTACGAGCTTCTTCACGAAATTTTGTTGATTGTTTTGCACATAGACTTGTTTCACTATGTGTATTACCATATCTATAGAAAAAGAAAAGAAAAACAAACGTATTTATTAATAGCTTGAAATTTACTTACAATGGAAGTACATGGGTTCGAATATATTTTTCAATAAATTCCAATGGGCGACTTGTTGCCGTATAATCACAATAGACCACTTTAAAAAAAGCACAAACAAATTATTTTGATATGACAATGAAAAATCTTACTTTGTCTTAAACCCCATGGACCATTAAAAACATGATCCTTGCCAATAAGATTCTCGTTAATATAATGAATAAGTTTAGAACGAGAAGCACTATTATTATTTTTACTTGTAGATCGATAAATTTTATTAATTGATGGAAAAATGCCATTAGTATGGTTTACTTTTTGATAAATATCATTAGATTGTTTTTCATTTGTCGATAACTCTGGACGACTCATTAAATTTGATTGAGACTTTGGATACGATGATGAAAGTATTTGTGATGTTTTGGGCTTCGTTGTTCGCCACTAATAATTTACAGACAAGAAAAAGAAACTTAAATAATTTTTAATGAACATCAATAACATGCATTTTAAACGATTAATATTGTTTTCATTTCGAAAAATTTAAATAAATAAATAGATTAATTTTTTTTGGACAAAAAAAAGTAGAACATAAAAATTCGTTAAGAATAAGCGCCATTCGAGAAAAAAATCATTTCTTACCGTAACTACTTCTTCATCATCACTGGATGGATTACTATAATCTGATTCATAACAACTTGAACCACTATTACGTCGTTGACGTTGTCGATAAACTTCAGGTGATGATGATTGGTGACCATAATAAGGAGCTGATAATGGTGATTCAAACGATGCACTTAATGGTATTGCAGGTGTATTACTACTAATACTGTTGGTACGGTTATGATATGAGGCCATATCAAACACTTGATGTGGCGCATTATGAGTAAACGAACGCAATAAATCTTGGTTTTGTGGTATTGTACTATTCGATAGCCATGCGTCAGATGATGAAATTGGTATCATATTAATTGGACTTGAACGTGGTATTTGTTGTTGAACTTGCTGTTGAACTTGTTGTAGTTTTTGTTGAAGTTGTTGTTGAAGTTGTTGTTGAAGTTGTTGTTGACCAGGTGTCGCAATTTGTGGTGTTGTTTGTGGTACTAATTGATCGGTTCGAAATAATTGTTGTTTTTGATCCATTGTTTGCTGTGGAAATGTAAGAGATGTAAGAGATGGAGTTGACATAGCAGCTTGCATAGAACGTAATTGATTGTACTGATGAAATAATAAGTTAATGCCCTGTTGTTGTTGCTGTTGAGCGTACATTGCTTGATGTAGAGGATAATGAGGACGATGCATGGGAAATAACTATAAAAAATTATAATATTTCAAAATGAACAATGGTTTTTTTTTAAATTTTTTAAAAACTAATCTTACTTGTGTTGGAGTATACGAATACATATCTTATTGGATAAATTGGTAATATTTTAAGTTAAAATACGTAATAACTTGTAATAAGGGATGTTGTTTCGTGACTTTATATGACAATAATATCGTCAATAATATATGAAAGCAAAACAGTATTATTAAGGATAAATATATGAATAAGACAAGAGAGAGAAAGAGAGAGTAAAAAAAAACTTGTTTTTTTTCTCTCCTACTGGTTCTCGTGATCGTGATATGCGAAAATAAAATAGGAAAGGTGTGGTGTGTTGAAGAAATTGACGTGGTTATATTCGTCTTAATTTTTTTTTGAAAAAAAATCATCAGCAAAGCATTCAAGGCGCAAATGGCGTGATTAATGATCGAAAAACAAACGAATTAAAAAAAACGTAATAACAAGTATATATATTTATTTTCATGTTAAACAAATAATCAAAACTATGGGCTATGGCTCATAGAGTTCAAAGAAGTGTAAGTTCGAATTACGTAGAACCTATTGCATGTTGATATCTACCTTTCATAATGTTATTACGATGATACATTTATTCATTTATTGAAAAAAAAAGACAAGCTAACTATTCATATAACGATGACTCTTGATTAAATAAAAATAAACGCGTAACTATTTTTTTCTTACTTCGCCAATAATTCATTCTTCACACGTCATATCACCAATTAAAATACTGTCTGTACTCATTCACATAGAAATGCGTAATAGAAAATTATTTTTACGATTGTATATTTACAAATTAATTTCTTCAATAGGAAATAGAAATAAAATTAAAACGATTTATTAAAATAAAACACATGCACAAAGTACTCAACAGTTATTTCATTTCATATAGTTCGATCAATTTATCATATAAATATTTGTGGTTTCATCATCGGATAGCAAAAAATAAATGTTTCTTCCTACGCTTTTCTTAGTTTCAAAAGATATTTTCATCGTTACGCTCGTCTTCCACGCATATATTTATCTAGGTAGTAGGCAAGAAAAAAATGATATTAACCGAATGCATTCAAGCTTTGCAAATGAAAAAAACATAATAAATTGGGATTGATAATTTCATTATTAGATTGTATCTATGAGAGAAATAATGATAGCCATATAAAGGTAGTACATATAAATATTTCAAACAAGCCTCAACTGATAATAATTTATATTATTTTTATGTTCATACATTTCATTGCCAAAGAGTGAGTCAGTATTTTTTTTATTTTTGCAGGTCATATCCTCAACATATGAAAATGGCTGTTTTTCATCTGATGAAGTTAATGATTGAAGCTTAAGATTGATGTTAATCATTAGGTCTTGTTGACAACAGAAACATATTCATGGACGTCGATAGGTAAAGATATGTGTTTTTGCCTATATATTTCAAATATTTTTTTATATTATGTATTATTGTTTGAATGTAATAGATCGAGATAAAAACAGCAAAAATAAAACTACATCATAATAAATTTGTTTTTGCTTTTTCTCACATTTTTTTTCTGTGCATCGTTCCGGTCGATGTATTTGTTAACATATAAATATAAAAAAACATGACGAAATGATTCTTTTTTTGTGTTTCATTAGAATATGTAGATATTTATGACAAATATGTCTACTTGATTAATAAGAAAAAAAATGACGTTTTTTTTTTCTTTTATGAATACAAACCATTTTTAAACATCAATAAAAACATACATATTATTTCGTTTTTTTTTTCTTATATGAAAAATAAAAATTATGAATATCCAAATGATTTAGCCAATTGAAGATCTTGTTGAAGTTGATGTCGTTTTAATGAACGACGTTGTCGACGACGTTGACGTTTAGCTTCAAGACGTAATTGACGTTTCTGTTCCATGGATTGTTCATATTTTCGACGAAGCCATCTATTAAAAAAAAATAACACTTCAAAAATCAATATAAATTTTAATAAAATATTTTCTAGTTGATTTATTTTATTAAAGAATTAATACTAATTATATATTTGTATATAGAATACAGAAATTTTGAATTCAATCATGCGAAATAAACAATAATCTATGTTGTTATCAATATATGTACTTTTACATGATGTGTATGGAATATTTTTATAGGAACAGTAGTATTATAATTTTAAATAATATCAGCGATAAATTATATATGAAATGAAGGCTTATTGAAAATCAAAATTTTATGCATAACTGGTAAATCAAGAATATTGATAACCTTTAGAATAAAGGCATTCTTCGTAACTTTAGACATATGATTGAGTACTTTTATGGGTCACTAATTATAAAAACAAGAAGCTTTTAAAATTTGCTTAATCATGTGCGAATAATGTTAAAATGATACATAAATGAAAATGTACGAGTCAAAATATTAAAAAAATATTATAGCTCTAATCAACAGAATGAAATATACAATTGTTCAATACTTTGACTATATTACTATAGTTTGTGTATCAAGTCACGAATTTTTTTCTACAAAAATCATCAACAAAAAGAGCTCTATAAAAAAATTTATTAATAATTATTTTTCAAAGAAACCTTGTGTTTTTATAATTAGGAGAGTAATTACCTCCACGGAAGGCTCATCAAAAAAATTTGAAAATTTCAAAGCAGATAGATCTCCATAAGCAGATGAAAAATACTCATAAACTCTTACTTCTTGAATGTATTCTAAACTTAGTTTCATTTAAAGATTTATATACAATTTTAGTATTTTGAGACTTCATATCTTCAAGAAATGAATTTTTAAAAATATTATGTATCATACAATACCTTTGAAAAAGGTATAAGTATTTTGAAAATCTCAACTTTTTAAGGATATTATTAGAATATCATCCAGTATGTAAAGGTAAAAACACCAGCAACCGTGGGAGAAGATATTTAGAGAAGTTTTCTCTTCAGTCACATACATATGATAGAGCTAAAAAGAATTTTCACAGATACTAGACACTTTTGAATTGTCTACCATGTTTTAAATCTTCTTTCATTCGATAAAAGCACCAAAAATCTGAGAGCATGTTAAAATATGCAAGTTTTTTTTTTAACTTGAGCCTTTTCTTTGTAACTCTTGGCAAAATTAGAGGTGAATTAAATTTTAAAACAAAAAAAAGAAAAAGAAAATAAAGCATCATTCTTAGTTTCTCGTATAAGTGCAAGAAAGTTTAAACTCAAACAGATGCACTGTGTTTGAGAAAGTGAGAGTGATTATCTACTTGTTTTCTGAAAAAGATACTCATTATTCAAAAGCAGTAAAATTGTGTGTAAATGTTGACGTTTTTTTTCAGCGAATATGTTTCATCTTTTCTGATTTTTTGACTTTCAAAATCAAATATTAATTTAGTGTTCTATCGAGTGCAATGATCGAGAGGGTGACTCTCCTCCGGCAACTAGTTCGACCTTCTAGAAGTTTGTGGTTATTTTACCACTTCTTATGTGTTTGTGCTTCCAAAAATAAGTCTTCGACACATAAAAACACCTGAGGTTTTCTATTAAGTATGTTAAAAATATCATATTTTTTGGTAATTATTTCATATATGTAGGATGAAAAAAAACAGCTAGTATCCTGTGTAAAAAGAAAGACAATCATTGGCTAGAAGAGTGTTCTTAGAAGAATACAGTCAACATACCCTAATATCTTGATACAATCTCCAATAGCACTCTTTTTTTTCTAAACGATAAAATCTATCATTGACACCATTTTACGTTCTCAATAAGCAAATCATTAGGAAAAAAAATAAGAACTAGGTTTTTTTAGGTTTACACTTATTCAACTCCATTGCTTATGTTGATATTTGAATAGTATAGATGGAAATCGTTTATAGTGGAACATATTACAAATATAATTATTAATCTCGAGCTAACTTCAATGAGTATGATTATTTGTGAAGAAACAATTTAAAGAAAAACAGCAATTGAGTACACATTGATTGTTCTTTTTTTTTTTTTGTTTGTATGTTTCAAAATATGTCTTTAGATCTTTTGACAAAAAGAAATACGTTGTCGGACTCAAAAGGAACGAACCTTCACATGTGTATATACAAATATGTTTTCTTCATTTATCAACGTGCTATGTTATGATAAAAAGGTTTCTGGATTTCTAGAAGTAAGTGCAACTAGAAAAAGAGTTTTTAATGAATACTCAACAGAATTTTACCACATATGTTCCTAATTTAGGAAGATCTCTTTATGTGTGACGTGTGCCAGTGTGCACTGAATCAATCAGGCTCTATGATTATAAGAACGATTTCTTTTTCATGTAGAGAATCTCAAAAATGTTTTCATATTATGTCGGACAAGGACACTGAAATAACTCTACAATAGGTTTTCAATAGATTGTTCTTCCCTATTAACTATTTTTTAAAGGTTTTACTAAACAAATCAATAAGTTATAGTAGTTCTTACAGAACAAAATCGATTCTCAAAGGGAATCTTCTAATTTATTGAAGATTCTAGGTGTTTGCTCTTGCAGTTTTAAATCACTTCTCTCTAACACAAAATCTGTAAAAGATACTATGTTAGCTCTTGAAATATTTTCAACAAGCTTTCATTTCGATATAAAACTTATTGTTTATACTATTTGAAATAACAATGCGAAATCGCTGAAAAAAAGATTTTGTTTTACCAATTTATATAAACGATTATTATGAAAACTATAAAATTACCTTTGAAAGGCTCGATGATCATTATCTCGAATGCCATTATTTATTGATGATGATGAACCTCCTGATAGCATTTCATGCTCATCAGCTTTTAATTTTTTAAATTCATTTGCAATTCTTGTTTCTTGATCTTTACGTTCAAGCCATTCTTTATATTTTTTTTCTCGTAATTCAGTTAATTCTTTTTCTTCTTCAGCTTGACGAGCCTATGAGAAACAAAAACAAAAAAAGAATCAAAGATGTATAAATTTAAAAAGATTCTACTTCTTGTTCTTCTTTTTCTAATCTTTTTTCTTCATTGATTCTTTTACGTTCTGCTTGTTTTTCTTGTAACCATCGTTTATAGGATTCTTCTGCTTTAGCCAATTCTTGTTGACG